CCTCCATCTAGACTGGGGCTCCAGCCTTATATATTGTAACTGGACATAAATTGAGCACAGTAGAACAACAGAGAGCCTTGTCCAACCAAGACACCTTTTGCCCCAGAGATGTCTCTTCATGCCTCCTATGTCTCCTGTGTAGGCTAACAAGGCTTCTCTTGGTCTCTAAGGTAAGTGCTTTTCTTTACTACAAGTTGCTCTTGTTCTGTAAGGCATAACATAGGCATTTTTCACTTCAACAGATCTCAAAGATGCTTTCAAAACATCTAAAATATCTAAAGACTGCACCACAGCAGTCTGAGATATTAGCTGCTGGGAAGCAGTGAGTTTCTGCATTTATCTACCACTCACCCACATCAAAACAGATGCCAGCTGTCAGCAAAAATGTGTGTTCRTCCCAGGGAAGAGCTCTTGAACTACACTCCTATGCATAGGCCTGTCCTTTCTATCATTAGCTCAGAGCTTTCCCTTCTTAGGAGAGCACTGAGAAAAATCAGTTTCCAGGAGGGAGCACAAACACGGCTCATTGTACAATGTTTGCACCTCCTGGGTGAAGCCCTCCATAACCCCAAAGGGCTTTTCCAAGTGCTAACTACTCCGTGTGCCTGACACTTGAGCAGCTCCAAGTAAAGGGCAGAGGCACACATGCCCTTGGCCACGGCTTCAGTGTTTCACCCCAAAGAGCTGTCAAAGTGCCAAATACTGTGGAAAGCATGAGTGCATCTGCTGAAAGGTCTCTCCTGTTTCTCCAAAACMGTGTGTGTTGTGTGGAGTTCCTCTTAAAACCCTCTGCTTTAAGTTGTCTGGCTCGCATGTGCCAAAAGCCAGCTCTGCTGGCTGAGCAGAAGGAGCTGCTGCAACTTGTGTCCCCTTGAGCCGGTGGGCACCTCCTCAGGCAGCGTAAGCAGATGTAGCTCCTTTGATTCCTCGGAGAATATGCCACTTTACCAAGGATTTACTGAGGATACTGAGGAAACAATGAGTTTTTTTTTCCCCAAGAGCACAACTTCAATAAAACTGGTAATGGCGATCATGAAATTCATATAAAAAGCACCCCCATCTCTTGCAGTTTGTGAAAATCCTGTGTGTTTATGATAGCCCCATACAGCCCTGCTATTTCATGCTGGTGCTGGTCATCAAGTAAGGAAATATTTCACAGAGTTTTTTTTTTATGTTGGCACATTGTGTGAAAGTTTCAGAGAAACAAAAACTCTTCACCTTCTGTAGTAAACACAGGCCGCCAGCAAATACTATAATGTAATCTAGTAAAACAAAATAATTTTAGAAGCCTTTCAAATGCTGAGAAGGAACAGCAGGCTGTGGGTGGGCTGCTCCGCTCTCTGAGTGCTGTCTGTTAATACCCAGATGTCGAATGCCAACTTTCCATTCACTGCTGCAAAATAACAGACTGTCATAGGATAAAAATAACCACGGGAGGCATACAATACATTTCAGTGCTTATTTCACCTACAGTGAATAATCAAAGATGTGTCTGTGGAAGTTCTGTAGATATCTGTACCAATGCTGTACGTTTCAGGTTTGTGATCACAGAGAATCGAAGGGAGGGAAATGTTTTGTGTTAACCTGTTAATTTTGGTATTATTCACTCAGAATCTGAAGGARTTGCAGGAAACAGGAGGACACATTCTCATGGTGTGGCAACGAGAGAGAACTGCAGAAATGACTCGGGATCTTTATGAGAACAATAAGAAACACATTAACATAAAAACTTCTCTACAACTCAGGATGGTTTCTTCTAAAAGACCTGTAAATCCACTTTGGGCTGTGCTGTACCACATTTATGATGGTATAACCAGCCTCCCAGCCAGGAATCTCACAATGCAGCAATGGCTTTCGAACCTCACCTCTGCTGGCAGATTTTCAGATTGTTTAAAACTAGGTCAGTGTTGAATAAAGAGTCCAATGACCCTGTGAAGACCACAGGCTCTACTGGTTTCTTAAAGTAATGCAAGACAGAACACCAGCATTTTTTGCATAGAACAGCCTAAGTCTTATTCTGAAATCAGAGGTTAGATAAGCATGACTGTAGACTAGAGTCCAGGAACAGACTTCCTTCAACACTGCTTATTTGCCATTTCCACTTTACACTTTTGGGGTCAAAGACTGTTTCTATTGCTCTTAATGCTTCTAAAATTCTAAGCTAATTCTAGATATCACCAGCACTRTTTATAATCACAGAATCGCAGAATGRTTGAGGTTGGAACGGACCTCTAGAGATCATCTAGTCCAACCCCCCTGCTCCAGCCAGGGACACCCAGAGCACGTGGCACAGGGTTGCATATGATAGTATTTGATGATTTATATTGAGTTCTTTTTATGTACTCTTCTGCATAGTTTTTTTCTATGGTGCRTATATCTTCTCAGTCACTCGGGATGAGGTGTACAGAAATGCTGACTAATGCAGACATTCCTCTTCTAGATGCTTTTGCAGATGAGTGAGCTTATTAAATGATTATAGTTACTCATGTGTAAGTTCATCCATATGCATACACACTTGCAGGCTAAAAGCAACGTTCTATGATTTCTTGTATCATGATAACATGGAAGGCTAATAAATTAACTGCAGTCTGTGCATTCATGCATTTTGTTGCCCAAGATGAAGTCAAACAGCTCCCATATAGACAAGAACTGGTTACACTAGCTCAAGGATAAACATCACAAGCATGAGTACATTTTKCACGAGGCCTTAGTTTAGCAGGAAGCTCACTTAGAAAGTAAATCAGAAAAAGGAATACTGAACATTCCTAAGGGCCTTCAAACCATATACAAACCTGTAGCTAGCTCTAATACTTCCCAAGGTAGAGATATTTTATTTACCTCCAGAGAACACTGGCCTACGCAAATCTTCCTTCTCATCCATGAACATTCACCTGGTGCCAACCAGTATTTCCTTTGATTTTCTCACTGTCATCTTTTGCTTAGTTTGCCAAACCTACTGGCTTTGTCTGTCTTGCCAACAAAAACTGATCTCTCTCCTGTGCCAAGCACATTCGTGTGACAAACTCGCAGTGGCAGAAGAAAATCATCTTCCAAAGCACTTCCACTGGGCAGAAGAAACTGGTCTTTGGAACCCAGATGGGATGTTCTGAGACAAGAGGGGAGGGAAGGACTGCACTGGGGACCTGTTCTTCTGTGGCAGCCCACTAACATTTGGACTCTGCATAAGTTAACATRCACAACCCCCTGTAATTCTCCCCTTTGTCTCTCTTTTGGGTACAGGATACAGATACAGATACAGGATGTGCAGGCAGCCAGTAAGTCCCTGCGTGGTGAGTTCATCCTGCATTACTCCTCCAGATATGGCATATCTGCCATCTTTTTTGCACTCCTCCTCCTACCCTTTACAGTCTCAGTCTATCTTGAGGGGATCTGTTTGAATGAGTCAACTTGCCAAGGATGTAAACTGGAATCRAACAGTCACATCTCCTCTTGAGATCTCCTTTTAGTGCCCAGATGCAGTATTGCCTCATCTAAATTAAGATACTAGATTATAGTCTTGGGATTTTCTTTGGAAATATGCCAGAAAAGTTAAGCATGACAATAAAGTAGTCAAAAAAATGCCTTTTCAATTCATTACCAAGCACCTGAACTGCCATAGGCAGGCAGCCTTAGCAGAAGAGGGCTCCTTTACTTCCAAATATTTCATGACTTTATGTCAAGATTGTGGTTAAGGGAAAAAAAAATTAAACCATTGGGACAAAAATACAAATATTTTGCATGGACTTTCATCCTGCAATGCACTAAGCACTCTGAACTGATTAAGCAGAGCTTATAATCATGTAGGTTTTGTACTTTTTTTTGGTGGTGCACACATTAAAATGCAGCACGTGCTCAAACATTTGCCTTGACAAATCTGCCTGGTCAAAGTGCTTAGCACCTTGCAGTGTCTGGCACCAAAGGAAGTATGTATTAAATTATATAATTGTGAGCTTGAATCCAAGTGCTTCTTCCAGCTAGTTCATTAATTTAAGGTGTAAAGACATCAGGTAAGATATGAAATTATTTTCAAAAGATATGTTCTCTTACTTCACCACAGTTTTAAAAGAACGATAAWTATTCTCAGATTAGGTTTAATTAGTAGGAATAAAATGACACAGAGCAGTAGTGTGAGACAGTTCTCACATTCATGTAGGAGCTGGTTAGTGTCATGCAAGCTCATAGTGTCTGCCTATATATATCCCTGAAAAAAAGTTTGTAATGATGTCTTCAAGAAATTTCAGAAGAAATTGGCTTAAGGCAAGCCAAGTTCATGAAGTCTTTGGCTAACGCTTCAACCCTTGGACTGTTGGTTCTGTTTTTTTCTTTTTTATTTTTTCTCCCAACCTGGCACACATGCAAAAGCTGTGAGCCCAAATATGACCAAACTTCTCCAAGTCTTCTGCCAGATTCAGAACCTCTAAATATAAAAAGCTCTGGAGTTTGTTCTGTGAGGTATAAAAATACTCTCCTTAGGTGCTTTACATCCCATTATTTGGAGCAAAAGAAATAAAAATAYGAGAAAGGAGGACAAACCTGTCAACATGTAATGGGAAGCTTGGAAAMAAAAATCAAAACTTGAAAGAAGTAGCTGTTTGATCTATGCTATTGCTTTTTGCAGTGGGTTAAACTGAAATATCTATGCTATTGCATTTGCACCAGTGAAAAGTGAGTGAAAAAGAGTGCCACAAACCCCTTTTGGCTGTAAGAGTGTTAAAGCAATGGAGAATCTCCTGAATGTTGTGCAGATGCATCTGAAGGAGGACCTCAAACCCTTCTTAGACCCTACATGTGAAAAACCCATCAAAGTGCAAAGATACCACTGTGGTTCTACCTTGCAGGTAGCAGCTGTCTGGAAGAAAAATCCTGCTCACACTATCATGGCATATTTGCTTGGCTCTTGCACTTTTCCCAGACCTCGGTTACTAGATGGATGCTGGGGGATTAGGAAGGACTCTCACCTTAGCTGCGTTATTTTAGGCAAAGCATACAACTACCCATACCTGTGTATGTTTTCTTCCAGCTTTTTGACCTTCAGCTCATCCTCTTCTGACTGCCTCCTTCTGGCTTCTTCCTCTTCTGCAGAGCCAGCAGGAATTCCCTGYAGCAGCCATTTTTCCCGAAGGGCTTTGGACTGCATGGAGGAGAAAGCAAGACAAAACCAAAAACCCTTAGGAGAAGAAAGAATACAAACCTGCTTACATTTTAGAAGAACTACTGATTGCCACTTTAGACATTAAATTTCAGCTGATCTATTAGGCGTTTATCCAGATGTCAGGTCCAACAGTTTTAGTGGTGGCAGTTTTACAGTGTGCATGATGTTTACTAGTGATGCCTTAATTTGAAGCTATTTTTAGTTCCTAAWAAGTACAGCATTTTAAAATGACTCAAATTAGCCAGTCCCACAAAAACTATTTTTTTTTTTACAGAAGTCAGGATATCTCATGCATGATAAAGCATGTGTTAGGATGACTAAACTCATAAATTCCTTAAAACTTCAAAAACAAAAGAGCAGTATACTTTAAGGTGTTTTGTGAAGGATATAATCATTCAGATGTTAAATTAATCAGATGTAGATGTTAATCAGATATATTATTTTTGATTTATAAAATGGATGTGTACACATATGTACACATACACAGACATGTACACTTTCATACAAATATACACATTATCCCTTAGCTTTTATCACTCATTGGCATGTGTGTCCTGGTCAGAATCCTCCCAAACAGATTTCAGAATATTTCAGAATATTTAAGGTTGGAAGGGACCTCTACAGATCATCTAGTCCAACCTTCCTGCTCAAGCAGGCACACCTACAGCATGTGGCACAGGGTGGCATCCAGGCGGGTTTTGAAGACCTCCAGAGTAGGAGACTCCACAACCTCCCTGGGCAGCCTGTTCCACTGCTCTGTCACCCTAACAGTAAAGAAGTTSCTCCTCACCTGGAGACGGAACTTCTTATGCTTCAGTTTKTGGCCATTACCCCTCGTCCTATCGCTGGCCACCAGTGAGAACAGCCTGTCCCCTTCCTCCCTGCATTCTCCCTTCCTGAACTTATACATGTTAATCATATCCCCTCTGAGCCGTCTCTTCTCCAGAGAAAACAGGCCCAGCTCGCTCAGCCTCTCTTCATACGAGAGATGTTCCATTCCCTTAATCATCCTGGTTGCCCTTCTCTGGACCCTCTCCAGAAGCTCCACGTCCCTCCTATACTGGGGTGCCCAGAACTGAACACAGTACTCCAGGTGCGGCCTCACCAGAGCTGAGTAGAGGGGCAGRATCMCCTCCCTYSMCCTGCTGGCAACACTCCTCCTGATGCAGGCCAGGATCCCATTGGCCTTCTTGGCCACGAGGGCACACTGCTCACTYRTGGKTAACTTGGTGTCAACCAGGACTCCCAGGTCCCTCTCCGTGGAGGTGCTTTCCAGCAGGTCAAGCCCTAATCTGTACAGATTGTACAGATTGTACAGATACAAGAGCTAAGCTGGGGGAGAGGACGTGGCCTCATGGAATGAACCCACTGGAAGGAGGATTAGCAGATCTTCTGGTTTCCTACCCCTGGCAAAAAATGAAATGAAGCTGCTGGAAAATCTGAACTAGTGAACCAGCAAAACTAGCCCCTTCACTGACTGGAAAGAAGGGCCTTGATTTTGAATTTCCAAAGCAATTGAAAATACAGTTCCAGCAACCAGCTGTCAGAGCCTATATCCCCAACAATGAAAAGGAGCTAATAAGAAAATCATGAGTTCAAAGAGAATGTATTTCAGAGGCTGTCCAAACATACAGGATCAGTCTCTTTAATGAGATGTTCATAGCTCAAATACAACATCATTTGTGCAACATTTACCAACAAAAAACAGTCTCCAACCCCACCCAAAATAGAAGTCTTTTTGACGTAAGAGACAAGTCTTGTTACTTTTTGAGTATGTATATATAGACATAGTATCTATGCACAAGCTATTCCTGTAACTTCATGGCCTATTTGATTTAAAGCAATTTGATTTTAATATGACAGCAGCGTAAATCACACAAGCAAATTAGACTTTATAAATGACTCCAGCTTTCATTGACATAACTGTGCTGCACACAACATTCCTTTTAGGTGATTCTTAAGGAAATGGGAATATATAAGAATCACTGTTCCTGTTAAAAGAGGAGCTCTGTATGATAAAATAGGTCTTGTGCTGCTGTATCACATGTCACTTCCCAAATTGTCCCCCACCCTTTAACCAAAGCTGTACTGTGCTTTAACTAGCCAAGAAACCTGAATTCAGTTTTGCTTGTTGCCACAAGCTACAAAACATCATAACCAATATCTTCAGTCACAATTTTTAGTGTTATTTCTTCAATTTGCTGTCACTGTTGTATGCACAGTACTTCATGCTGTATTCCATACTCTTAGAGAGAATTCCTGGTGGATCCTTCACTTTCTGTGCAATATTGATTACTACCCCCATGAAGATCTCAGTTAGCTTCAACACCTTGTCAGGGCACAAAGTCAATGATGCTACTAAAAGTCCCCTCAATAGGAGGGTTCCAAATGATATCTGTGTCAAGAAAAGATCAAGAACACTCMAAAAGCAAATTGCAGGTGACATCTTCACATGTCTTGGGTGCTGAGTAAATAACTATGCATGCTTTACTTTGGCATTTGAGAGGTCTCATCAGCTTAGCTCAGTAGGACCAACTATGCTGTGCTGGCCTAGATCCAGAGCTCAGCAGTGTAAAGACCAATTGGTTACTACAGAATTGTTGTCTTTCCTTTAGTAATGAAATGTTGCTGATTGGATGTGCAAGCATGTTACTGAATGTGCCATTCTCAGATACTGCTTCAAATTGGAAATCCAAATCTCTTTTGGAAGAACAGGTTTCCAAAGTTCAAACTACAAAGATAAAAACAGCTTCCTTTGTTTAAACCTCTCAAACAAGATCTCCTAATGAAGTTCTTAGCAAAGCACTGCTTACAGCAACCCTAAACATTTAGTTAATAATCATGTCTCATCTGATATAGGGGGAAAATGAAACATAACTTTCTTTTCAAAGTAAGTGCTTTCACAGACTTTTCCTGTTAATCCTCAAAAAGGGAAAGGTTAGTCTCTTCAGTACAAAACGCTGTACAACAAATAAGATATTTTTTGCAGTTTTTGTTTTGGTCTTTGTTTATGTGAACCGTTTAAACTACAAATCACATGATTTCTTTCTCTAGAAGGCTCTTTTTTAGACCTATAAATAGGATGAATGTGAAGCTGGAAAGCATCAATGAGATTTTGTTAAGACATACTTAGGGACAGGAATGCTATGATCTATTAAAACTTTTGGTGAAATGTCAGCACATTTTATCTAAAACAGGAAAACTTGTAGCTTTGATGTTCTTTGGCTCTCCTTTCCAAGACAAAAATAAAGCCATTCATTAAATATTACACTGAAGAATCCAGACATGAAGACTCTGAGAAATGGAGACATTTATAAGACACATTTTTTTTTTTTTAATTCAGAGAATTTATTTCCCAARCTGTTGGGAATACATATATTTATATAGCCACTGTAAATACAACAGGCACATGGACAGAGACACTTTAGGTGGCCCTGCCTTGCAGCCCTCCCTCCAGAAGAAACATTTTCCTACCAGATTCCTGGCATAGTGATGCAGGAGTGTATATGGGTGGAAGAATCTCACACCTGCCTTCAGCAGCCCTTTCCTAGGGCTTTTTTCTTGGGCCCTTCACTACAYGAAAGACATTGATGTCCTGGAGCACGTCCAGAGAAGGGCAGTGAAGCTGRTGAAGGGGCTGGAGCACAGACCCTGTGAGCAGCGGCTGAGGAGCTGGAGTTACTTAGTCTGGAGAAGAGAAAGCCTCGGGGAGACCCCTTCACTCTCTACAGCTGCCTGGAGGAGGCTGTAGTGAGGCCAGGGTTGGTCTCTTCTCCAGGATAACTACTGATAGGTCAAGAGGAGATGGCCTCAAGTTGCACCAGGGAGGCCCAGGTTAGACATTAGGAAGAATCTCTACACGTGCAGAGTGATGAAGCCTTGGGACAGGCTGCCCAGGGAAGTGCTGGAGTCACTGTCCCTGACAGTGCCCAAGACACGTGTGGATGAGGCACTTAGGGACATGGTTTAGCAGGCAGKGTGGTGAAAGGCTTAGTTAGACTCGATGATCTTGAAGGTCTTTTCCAACCATGATTCTGTCATCCTCTGATTCCTCAGAAAGCCAGACTGAAGGCTCTGGCACAACCTTAGAGACCAAGATAACTGAGGGTACAAACAGGGAGATGTTAAAGGTGCCGTGGGTGCTGGGACACAGCCCTGGGATGCTGTGCAGCCCAGTGCGGCAGGCAGTGTTGAGGAATGTCCAGCCAGCTTCACAACAGAGCTAGACGCGGTTTCAGAATACAGGATAGTTCTCTGTCATTAACTATTTTGCTCCAAAGTGATGAAATTAGATTTCTTGAAAAAACCTTGCAAACTCTCAATACAGAAAAATAAAAGGCGTTTCTCAAGTCTGCTAAAATAGAGTATTCTTAAAGTAGACTAGGACCCAAAAATAGTTGTTTGAATTACCCCTACTTAGCCCCTGTTRTGCTTTATTTAACAGTCTGTAATTAAATGGTCACAGGCTAACATTTCAGCACTGCTCCTCTTCTACTATCTCCTACGGGCCTCTATTTATTGCATCCTCCACCTTCTTTATGCACATTGTTCTGTCGGGTTAGACTGATGATTATGTACAATTACAGTAGTCAAATATGGTGGTGGATAAATACAAGTATTTGCCTACTTCATTCCAGTAGTAGGAAAAAAAAACATTTTTAATGTTATAACTACAACCACACCATCYACAGTTTGATATAACCATTTCTTCATTTTATGTGTGAGCACTGCTTCTTCAGTACTAAGTCTTACAGCAGAAATCAGATCATGACATTAAAGGGGCTGTCTCTGACTTAAGTGCAAAGGGGCCGAATTTCGGTGCGCTGGGTCACCGCTGGTGAGATGGTGGCTCTGCACATGTGCGCAATTTCAGATATTTCAGATTTCTTTGACTTCCAGCTCAGGAAAATAAGCTGACCTTTCTTCACAGTGCAAAGAGGGAAAAACAGGTCATGATTCTCTGCACAGATGATGGTGAG